AATTAAACCATTAAACCACGCATTGCATTATAATTTTGCAACTTTGCTATAGACGATGACAATGGTTTGAGTAAACAATAAATTCTGGGATTAAATGCGCGATTCAAAGAGCAAAGTTGTTGTAGCAATGATTAACAAACTCATACAATGCTTCCGCATGTCTCAAAGTTCCTCGAATGCCTACAGAATGATGCCGATTGCCGCCGCTTTAAAATCCTTTCCACTGTTTCGCGCCGGCGGTCAACGTGGAAAGCATCAGAGGGAGTCGTGAGATACACGGTACGTCGGTATCCAATCACAGAGCAAACCGGAGTTCAAAGAAGGGAATTCGGGAGGTTTCGCAGGGGCAAAAAGGGGAAGGGACAAAGCGGTTGCGTCGATGCGTGGGATGATGTTGATGAGCGGCAGAAATGCGCCGGCTGCCGATTGACGCGCGAATGGGGGCGAGAAGGCTCGGCTGGCGGCTTCCACTGAGCCGGCGCCTATTATTATTATCATTTTTTTTTTTTATGATTAGTCGGTTTTTGGGTTCGACTTGTTTGACCGGGAACGGCACGGGGAAATAAAGTTAGGTCAGACCCAGAGACTTCCGATTGCCGTTTTGTCTTCTATCTCCTTGTTTCGGGATTTGCGCGGGATTCAACCCCCGAAACAGCGTTATACATGGCTCATTGGGCCTCCTCTTATAACCCTTAAGTTTTCTCTTTCCTTTCCTTTTTTGGTTAAATTTGAAATTTAGTCCATAAATTTTTGTTTACCATTTTTTCATCCCTTAACTATAAAAAAAAAAAAGCATTCTTTTAACTTTCTGTTAGAGATAAAAAAAGAATGCCAACTGTACACACTTAACTGGCAAAATTGATGAAATAATTAAAAAAGTATATTTTTCATTATTTAGAAATAAAAAATTTTTAAAAAGTTTACTAAAATTATTAAAAATTAAAAATTTATGATTAAATTGGGATATAAATTACAAATTTAAAGAATTATAATTTATTCTATATACTTCTTTGAATTTTCATTATTGTATATACTTTGCCTTTGTCATGTTACAGCAGAAGTTAGTGTGTTCTAATTCATATATATAATGCAATTTAAGTTAAACCACCAATATAAAAGAACTTGTTATCCATTAAATCTGTTTTAAATTAATTTTTTTAACTGAATTATTCCAATGTTATCATAAGATTATTAAACTAACTTTTCAAGAATTTTAGAACCATATCTTGATCAACGTTGAACTCCCTAACGTTATATGGCCTATAATTTGTTGTGAAAATATGAACCCAGAAAACTTAGATATGCAAGTTCCTTTTTCGGCTATATGGAGCAGTCCTAGTTTTGTGTACACAACCTATTACCACAGGAATTGCGTGTGGGGATGTGCCAAAGGCCAACATGTGAAAATTGCGTCGTAACTGATCGAGAAATATCTGGTGTTAGAAAGCATTTTGGGGTTACCATTCCAAGGTTGGCCTGAGAAAACAGAAAATGGATTAGTGGTCTAGTCAAACCCTGGCTAACCTAAAAAATTCCAAACAATTCTCTTACCAACTTTTTTTGAATTGCAGAAACGACCTATGTGAGGGTTTCGAAATTGTAGTGTGACTACATAATTGTCATTTACTTACATATAAAAATTGTAATTAAATCTCTAAAAAATATAACTATAATCTTTCTAAATACTATAATTACACATTAGATAATATAATTAGTGTATTATGCAACTAAAAATAATCAACTACGTTTACAATAATATTGTTACAGTTTTTAAATTTGTAGGTAAAACTCTTAGAGAACCTATACCTACATTTATAAAATCGTCAACTGTAAGTTAAAAATCAATGACAATGATAAAATGGTAGTTTCTATATCATCATTTAGCATCAATATTTGTTATTACTATTAAAGAGTCTGAGGGAGATAATAAAGTTGCGGGAAAGGTCTCAAAATTCTTATTAATAATTCACACATTTTGGAAGTAGTAGCTCTCGCCGCCGCTGCTACGGTTCTTCTTCTCCGACGTGCGAGCCCTTCACCTAGGTGCTCCTCCCTGTTTTTTGCACGGCCTCCCTCCTCTCTATTTCTTTTTTTGTTCCTTCCTCCTCTTCTTTCCATGGATCAGACTCATATAATGGCCTAGAATTGTTGAGGCCTTGGAGAGACTTTTGCGATTTCAGAGCTGAAAAAACTTTATTTCCACCAAAAGTCGAGTATCATCTTCTTCTCTAAAACAAAGCGCACAGTGGCAGAGATGAATTCGATCCACTCAAATCTAGGGTTTGATCAATGCTTTGTTGTTCATTGTGTAGGGAGGGGGGGCAGCTTGGCTCTGCTCTAGATAGATGATTTTACCTTATCTGTTTCCTCTTTTTCCCAATCTCATATAAACGTTGAAATTGTCAATTCGGGTGGAGGTCAATGGCGACTCACAAGGTTCTATGGACGTCTGGAGGCCACTCGAAGAAAGGAATCATGGACCTTGTTAAAATCCCACAAGGCTGCCTATTCTCGACCGGATGGCGATCAATGGCGACTCACAAAGTTTTATCTAGGATTTGCACTCAGGTTTGCCGTTAATTAGGCCGGTAGGAGGGGTGGATTGGCTCTAATTTGGACAGATGTTTTTCGGTTGCACCAATCTCTTGTTTTACAATCCCCTGTAGCTATTGCAATTGTCAATTCGGGTGGCTATCGATGGAGGTTGATTGGGTTTTTCAGTCAAAAGCAGAAGGAAAGGGCTGTCGTTGGTGAAGTTGGTGGTGTTCTACAAGGGGAGAATGCCACTCCAGTTGCAAAAGGGGCTCTTGTTCCCTTATTGAATTGTGGCAACAAGGGCTTGCAGAGGATTGTAATGTCTTTAGAATATGCTGCTTTAGGCTATATTGCCATGAGATGGAGAGTTATATTGT